ATTTTTAGTTTTGATTTTTAATTATATATTTGTGATTAATTTGTATTTTTTTGAAAATTTGGGACTATTGTTGCAATTATTTCTTTATCCTTTCATTTCATTTATTTTCGTTTTATTTGAATAGGAGGGTAAAATCATCTTTTTATTCGAAAATACAAGAAAATGGCATTTTGCGCAATAAAATTTGAAAATATGAGTGAAAATGTCAAAAAATGAAAGGTACGAACGTTTTGCACAATGATATTAAAAGGTGGTGACGTTTTATGTTATTTACCCATTCCGTTAAAGTGGCATGACTTTTGAAAAGTTAAAATGAGCTCTTGAGAGTGGAGACACAAAAGTTACTTTTGAACTCGTTTAACTAATTTTATGATCATACTTTCAATATTTAGAAAGGTTTTTAGAGAAAATTGATCTATTGTGGCTTTCTCTAACACCACCTTTGGAATAAGAAATACTATTAAAAATTAGTTTTCAAACAAAAATTAAAATAACTTTTTCGAAGAGCTCTTTTATAAAAAAGAAGAGTAAAAGCAAAAGTCATGCTAAATTAATCTAAATATCGTTAACAAAACAGGACAAAATAATAGACTCACTCACCAGCTAAGCTCTAGCAAGGGAAAGATAAGTGACAAAACTAAAATTTTAGTTCTAAGTTCAAAACACTACGCACGTCGAGTGAGCTAATTCAACTCCTACTAAGCCTACATTTGATGATCATTATTTTCAGACTCTTTTTTTCAACATATTTATTTTCAATTAGTCCTGTTTGACAATCATTACTTTCAGTATCTTTTTTCTACATACTCATTTTCAATTACATATTCATATAATAAAATATTCTATACGTAAATTTAAAACTGTCTTTATTTTTTAACCACATATTCTCCTAAAAATTACTGTTTAAAATTCTATTTTTCCGAAATAATGATTATCAAACATGATCGGTTGCCAACTTTGGTAGTATATTGTCTTACCGTTCCATTAAAAAAATAATAATAATAAAAAAACTAAAAAAAAGAGTCTTTGACCTGTGTAAAGGGAGAAAATCTATTATGGTGCGCCACCTCATTGGGTGACCCACCACTGCGATCTCGACGCGTGTGGTGGGTCATCCAACGAGGTAGTGCACCTTGATAGGACGGTCGTACGACCCCGTGGTGCGATCGCCGTGCAAAAATCTCTGTTGTCATGTACCCATTGCAATTGATTTACATGAATTTCCAAATATTACCCTGAACAAAAGACCAATCGTGGTCTGTGACGCTTGGAAATTGTTATGAACAGGAAGGGGCAAAACTGGTACATCGGAAGTAAGAAAAATAACCGTTGGACCCCGTCTGCTTTGCTTTAAAAAAACTGTACCGTCTATCTTTTATTCAAAAAACATTATGATTGGAGATAATATGTTTTCTAGAAAACATTTTTAAAAGACAACTCAAAATTATTCCACTGATTTATCTATGTTCCTTCAATAGACAAGAATTGATACTGGTTAAAGTCCACGTGCCAATTTTGACTTAATATATTTATCACCATTAAAGAAGATTGCTACTTGATATAATATTAAATAATAAAATCAGTAAATTGGGTTCCATATCCATATATTTAATTGATCTTATCATTTCATAACATATCATGTGCTACATAAATTCGTGATGATCTTTCATGAAATAAATAGCATTATTTCAATATCAATACTTGAAAATAGATTATTTGTACAGCACGAGATAATACGTATAAAAAAAATATTGCACATAAAAAAAATATTTTACTTAAAAAAAAATTTTAATGGACATTTGGGCCGAAGGGACGAGCTGTAGCACGGTCCAGCCCATCCCTAGATCCACCCATGTATACAATACAATGGTGCTCATTGATATACAATTGATTGAACTGCTTCTTTTTCATTTTTATTTTTTCTCATTCACTGATTAAACACAATCTTTTGCATAGATGCAGAGAAAATTCAATCAAAAACCTAGAAAATATACAATCTTATTAGCCTACATTTGGGAAAATTTATAAACGAAATATGAGTGATGAATAAGTGAACATCAAATAATTTATAACTTTGTCAAATGGAGACTTAGAGGGAACACGATTATTTGACATTTCAGTCATTTTAAAAATTAAACTTATGCATTTTAAACAAAAATAAGAATGCAAAGCTTCATATTAAAGAAAAAATGTGATAGCTCTTATGCAATAGTAATTCATTTGTCATTGAGCAAAGGTGTCGGAGTCGAATTTTTAGCCTCAAGCTGCATGATTAGCTCGACAATCTCCGCCCTAATCTCACTACTAGCGCTCAATCATCTGTTTGTTCCTTTGAAAGAGTCCACCAATTGTTTCTTCATCTTCTTGATTTTTGCAGGTTCCTTTGGTGGTAGCTCCAGGAGCGCTGCCATTCCCGATCCTTCCGACTCTTTCTCTTGACCCCGCCTGCTTGAAAGTACTGTTGTAACCGCATTTTTTCTTGTTTTATTCTTCATATCTTCAACTTTTATAGAGTCGTTATCTCGTTCTTACTTATCTCCACAATAAATGAAGACATTTTTATTTTTTTTTATATTCACAAAAGAAAGAATTCAAATTAGATATTGTGTGACTTTCTTTTAAAAAAAACCGACAGAGTATATCACTCTCAAATTTAGACACCTTAATTCATATGCAACACAAATAAAATATTAAATCATTTCACTTTTTAATGTAAAGTAAAATTTGAATTCATATTTGTATTTACATTTGCAGAACACAGTGTATGCATCTCTTTAATTGATCAAAAAATAATATAAATTAGATAGTGAGTGACTTTCTTTAAAAAAAAGTGACGAGGTTTGTCAATTTCTAATTTCCAACAAGAGTCGAGACAAATAAGGTGTTACATCATGTCACTTGTTAGTTCCTGTTTGGACTCCATTAAAATTATAATACATTCTTCTTTCTCTTCTTTTCAACCATACATTTTCAATAAAATAATATTTCACGCATATTCAAAATCTTTCCTTATTTTTTAATCACACATTTTCTATCGATCTACTATTCCAAAATACATTCTTAGTTACTTACAATAAAAATGGGGTTCAAACGGGCACAAAATAATATTACATAGAAACTCAAAACTTTTCTTTATTTTTTAACCACATATTCGTCAAAATATTATTATTTAAAAATGCATTTTTTCCAAAATCTAATTAAAATGGAGGCCAAACAAGGGCTTAATGTAAGGCAAACTTTGAATTCATACTCATATTTACACTTTTACAAACACCTTGTATAAATCTCTTTAATTGATCAAAAGTCAAATTTTCTTTTGTACTAATTCAATCCAATTTATCCAGTCAACACTTTCTCGGTCGAGCCTGTCGCACCGGAATTGTCTAGTGCGATTTATCTGACCGGTGTGGTTTGAAGGTTATTGCGTCAATCCGAGAGTTTACCCAATACGCACCCGAAGGGTAGCGACTGTGGGTTCCCCCGTCAAAAAAAAAAAAAAGAAAAAAAATCGCATGTACTAACTTAGTCCAATTGATCCAAATTTGAATTTTCTTGTATATTAACTTAAAATCTCTAATTCAAAGATGAATTTTCATATATGCTAACATAAAAAAGCCTCTAAAATATCAAATTCACAGTTACAATAATATTGTATTTTCAGAAGTTATAAAAAGTTCATATATCAACAGTTATCATGAGAAATTAGCTTATAATTGTTTTTATTGTATTAAATAATTATGATATTTATAATCTATTACTGAATAATCAAACAAGATCTGAATTATTTGAATAAAAGTTCAGATGTTACTATCTTGCAGATTTTTATTGATTATTTGCAGATTTTGAGAAGGAAATACGCAAAATCCTTTGAAAAAAATGGCGTTAAAGGAGCCGTTGATTCGTAATTTTGACCCGTGGCAAGAATTTTTGTTTCGACTTTCGACTCATTGATTGTTTTGGTGGTTAGGTTTCCATTTTGGTCATTTTCTTGAGGAATGCTACGAGTACAATTTTTTAAAAAGATTTTATACAGAAAACACAGCTATCTCAGAGTTATCGTCAAAAACGATTTTTGGCCACAAAAAAAATTACGGAGAGACAGTTATCTAGTATAAAATCTGATAAAAAATTTGTACCTGCAGAATAATTCCTTTTTTTTTAGTTTCTGTTCATGGTTTGATTAAAATAACGTATCAATTTTGTAACGTTTAAGTCAAATTATTCATATTTCAGTCTCACGTTTATACTGAAATTTTCAAAATATCCCTAATTTTAGGGTATCTATATAAATTGCCCAAATGAATAAAAAAGGCCCAATTGCCCAATGGACTCACATGAATAGAATGTCTTTTGTAGAATATATGTCCATGATTAGCACTTCATTTTTACCCATTTGTATGAAATTAGTTAGTGTATTCGCGGGCATCATTAGTGGCGCCTGATTCAATGGCAGCCGACGTTTGCTAACAAAACACACCATATTTGTGTAACAAATCCATATTAAACTCTTTCAACAAAACTATCATATTTAGGGTTGTTTTTGTAGTAACAATTAATTAAAAGGAAAAGAATCATATCAATTACTAAACTCTAGTCAATGAACTAAAGAAAACATGAACATTGTCTATAGTTAGAAATGACAACAGAGTGGGTGTAGGATCGGCCAATCATTCTCAATCCCGCCTGATTTAGTTATTTTGTTAAATTCCCCATCCCCATATTCAGTTAAAGTAGGGCGGGTTATTGTCCAACATTTTTTTTCTGTATCTTTAGTTAATGAACATTATTACTTTCTTTTTTATTTTATTTTTCTCTTTCAAAACAATTCAAGTTTTCTTTAAAAATGATGATAAGTTTTTTCTTTTTGTTTGATAAAAAATTTAAATTTAAAATTAATTTTAAATAGGATATGTAGTGATGCGGGGACCATATTTTTCATATCTGTCCCGTACTAGTTTCGGGGTAACGATTCCCGCTCCTTCGTTGCCCCATATTCAGATAATTCTCATCCCATTGGAGACGGAGTGCCACGGGTATCGAGATAAATTGATTTTTTTTTGCCTTGTCTATGTATAGTCTGTAGACTTTGTACACCATTTCCTGCATCTTCTATTCTGTTTTTTTCTTTCTAATTATATAAATTGAGGACAGTAACAAATAATTTTCTAACTATTTAAGCTTCCAGGCAAAACAGCTTTTTTGGTCCCGCGACCACCTTCTACCTTCTATATGTAAAGTCATTTTCTTCTTCTTCTTCTTATGAATTGAATCAGAGACGTGGTGGTGGCACTGGCCCACTCGCTGTATCTTGAGTTTCATGCAATTGCAATTTCACGTGATTTCAATCCCTTTCATTTATCCATTCCGAAATCTATTCCCGTCACACCATTTTATTCGGCATACATTAACTCAGTGTTTATAGATTCACGCACTCATACATTGTGCACATGTGACACAGAGAGGGGGAGAGAGAGAGAGAGGGAGAATGGACGGCGGGGAAAGAAGTAAAAGCATAACAAAACGGCTAGGATTCAAGAGAATGGGCTGTTGTGGAGCCAAATTGGTTCTTGGGTCCACAAGAGGCGACCATGAAGAAGAGGAAACCCCATCAAACTCACAAATTGGGCTCCCACTCGGCCATTCTCCGGCGGCCTCCGGGATGATCTTGGCGGCGGCGTTGGCGATTGAATCTGAAAACGAAGAAACAATTCCGAGTCCAGTTTCTGTAACGGCAGGGCCACCGTTGAAAATGCCATTGATGAAATTCCTCGAGGAAACAGAAGACTGGGATGAAGAGACCAAGTACGAGGAAGAAGGGGGCTGTGATTCACTATGCTGCGTGTGCATGGGAAGGGAAAAGGGCGCAGCATTTATACCATGCGGGCATACATTTTGCAGTGTGTGTTCAAGGGAGTTATGGCGGAATAAACGTGCTTGTCCTCTCTGTAACCGTTACATTATTGACATTCTCGACATATATTGAAATCAAGAAAAATTTTAATTTCTGGGAATTTAGATTTGGAATTGCCTAATCAATTTCCTGTGCAAAAGCTATGATTATCTGACTTTGCTATTTTTATTTTTGCCATTTTCTTTACTTTGAAAATAATTTTATAGAAATTATGTTAAAAAATTGTTTTATTTACTTTTAAATAAAAAAATATGCTTAAAATCACTATTATTGGTCTTCTTCCGGAGTTGAGATCTATTGTCATTTTTGAATTGAGATATGTTGTCTATTTTTTATTTTTCATGTTGTCCAATTTGCTATTCACTTGGCCCTTATTTGGTATTGATTTAAATCAGATTTGAATCTTATCCAAAGTCAAACAATCAATATTAATTACATATTTTATGGTTCCCACGACTTTTTCAATGACACATTTCAAAAATTTTTATCAAAATCTAATTTTAGTCCCTATCAAACAAGGGTTCAGTTGCAAAATTGACACATCTTTCATGATGTGTCAACTCATAATTGGATGAACAGAAATTGAACAACGCAAATAGACGAAAAGGAGGAGGAGCTATCATTGCCAACTGGCTGATAAAAATTGAGTTCCCCGAAATGGACGAGGTCTACTAAGTATTTGGGTTTTAGAATTAAGTGGGCTCTAAAGACAACCCACAAATCAAAAGGATGTGGTCCTTTCGAAAAAGTAGTAAAAGTGGGTTACCTACTCTGTTGCGCACTTAATGGTATTTGTATTAGGCATCTTTGGATACTTTTTGCTTAATGGTAATTACACCCATCCATATGTTTCAAAATCCAACTTCGGAAATCAGATCCAAAGTTTGTATATTCTAAAATCAGATATTTTTAATTACCTAATAATTCATCTACCACACAATTTCAACCCCAAACCCAAATTCTCTCTCTCCTATCCCTAGTCTCCTTCAATAAGTTGCTACACAGCCACTCGTCTACTCCTTCACTGAGCCGCACCCAACCACCGTCGATAAAGGCGATCCACACCTAGACCATCGATGGCGAGCGCCACACATGACGCCATCTCTCGCCTTCTCCTCATTGAGCTACTCCCCCTATCTCTCGCCTTCTCCTTCAATGAGCCGTAACCAACCACCACTGACGAAGGCGATCTGCACATAAACAACTGGAGGCGAGCGTTAAGCATGAGAGGACTGCACATGTCCAGTAGCATTCCTGTTCTAGTGATGGCAATTTTGTGAATCTAATTTGTTGTGATGCTTGGGTGGCTATGGCGACAATTTGTTGGATTTGGTGATGGTGGTGGTTGTTTTGTTAGTAGCAGTAGTGGTGGACTCTCGATGACGGGTTTCTTGGATTTTGTTAGTGGCGATGGGGGTGACGGTGGTTTTGTTGGTGGTTGTGGTGGTAAGGTGATAGTAGTGATGGTTGTTGAAGCCCTAATTTTTGTGGTGACGGCGAATGTGGTGGTGAGGTGTTGGTGATGGTGGTGGTCGCTATGGCAACGAATTAGGATGCAATCATTTGTTATCGACGTTGCAATTGGCTTTTCTTGCGTTCATAGTAGTACCGTTTGTACCATTTGTTATGGTGGCGACGGTGATATTGCTGCTACCGAAGGCAGTGGTGAGGTGGTGGTCACAAATCAATTGGTTGATTGTGACCATTAAATTGGTTAATCTGTGACCAATAAATAATATTTGATCAATGAAAAAGATAAATTGTGACAAAAAATTAATGTGTGACAAAAAAAAATTGTTAATTTGTGATGAGAATTCGATAATTTGTGACTGTATAATAAATTGTGACTTATAATATTTGTGATTTGTAACCGATAAATACCTGGTAACTTATAAAATTTTTTATTTGTAATCGATGAACAAATTATAACCTATAAAATTTTTGAATTGTGTCTGTAAAATAATGTGTGACATAAAATTTCTGATTTGTGACAAAAAAATAATAAATGGCTAACTAAACCGTTAATTTGTGAACAAATCATATAGATTTGTGACCTACTTGTATTTAATTAATTAATTAAATCATAAATAAATTTTAATAAAAATATGATTTTTGAAATTTGAAACTTGTTTTCTTAATTTTGAAACATGTGATACTTAAACTCTTACTTATGAAATCTTCCCCTTCACTTATACGGTACAAATTCTTTTAAAAATTCTTCTATAATTAAATAAAATACTTTTGAAAAATTATGCAAACAAACTCAAAAACAACTTCTTAGCATAAGAAAATTTTACTTTTAAAAAGATATACCAAACAAGCCCTAAAGTTAATCACCATAAAATATGGCATTCAAAACCACTTATACTGATGTTAAGTATGATGGTACTATATATCATTATTCTTCTACAAATAAGCTTTTTCATTATTTTATTTTATGTATGCACCATAATGTTATCCGTTTTAATTTGAATTTGAATCTGAATTAGTAACTTTACGTGGCCTCACTTCTGTCCTACATCAATATGGATATGTATTCTCCTATTATTGGTAGAGAATAGATCATGGCCCAACCACTATAGTTGGGGATATAATTTTCATTTGTATATAAAATTCAGTCCTCCTACACTAATATTAAAGGCGCATTTGATTGCGAACATAGAATTTGAATGAAAAGAAAATAAATTCTATACAATTCAATTGTTTAAAACTTATTTATATGAAAATTATTCATTAATTGCGTTTGATTGATTTAGTTTTCAACTTAGAAAATATTATATTTATCAATTTTTTATTGGTGGGTAAATGAGAGAGAGAAAGAAATAGTGGATTTCCTGGAAAATAAATCCTAATTCCTCCAAAAAAAAAATTATTTTACTTGATTTTGAAGAAAATATGATCACGTGACTAAAAGTAGGAAAATGTTTTCATGGGAAAAAATGTTAATCAAATTGTACAAAAATAGTAAATTGGGTGAAAAAACACATTTTTCAAGAAAATTATTGACAATCAAACACACCCTAAGTTTGAAATTTTTTATTTTTATTATTATTATTTTTTTTTAAGTGTGTGAGGTAACACAGTTTTTTACACTTGATTTCAACAAAACTTAATTCACGACACAAATTTTTACACCTCATACAATGTCAACTATGAAAGGAACAAATAGTATTTTCCTATAAAATTATAAATCCATCAACGATCAACGAAAAAGCATCTGGATTATTTTATTATTATTTTTTTTTTATTTTTTTATTTTTAAGGTTTCTTGAAATCTTATTTATGGAGATCAAGACCCTTGGACAAACCTAATGCTTTTTCTAAATTTCTTAAAAAAAATAAAAATAAAATAAAATTCATCATAACATCTACTAAATCGAATAATTACATTTTATATGATTAAGCTCGTAATATAAATGTAACTAAGAAATTTTATGACTCAAAATTTTTAGATTATCTTATTTATTAAAAACATTTCTTTTCTACTATTTCTTAGAAATTAAAAAAGAATTAAAATATCTTGAACACAACTAGTAGCTTTCGTTTGCGGCCCAAACCTCCTTTTTAAACATCAATATGCTTTCCTATCAACCACAAGTCCACAACTGAATAATTATGCGAGTCTTTTGTAAAACTATTTCACGAACCAAATATGATGAAAAGTAGTTAAGTCTCGAAGTTCTGTCTGATACTTTTTTTTTTTTATAATAAAAATCAAACTTATTTTCAATTATATTCCTTCAACAAAATAATTTTGAAGTTCTTTTTGATTCTTTTTTTTTTTTATAATAAAAATCAAACTTATTTTCAATTATATTCCTTCAACAAAATAATTTTGCACATCGACCAATATCTTTTTTCTATTTTTTAACCACACATTTTAAAAATTATTATTTTTATAAAAGAATTTGCAGCTCGATCTGTTTTTTTCCCCTATGGTCACTGTTAATTGGAACCTACTTGCGCTAACAAAATCATGACACTATGACTTTTCCCATTGATAAAGCCTAATTGATTAATGAATAATTGCTAGGTAAAAGGGCCTCAATTGAAAATTAGTCTATCTAAAATGGGGATTTAAGTCTAGTAAATTTTGATAAAAGTTGAAAAAATATATAGTAAAAAAGTTAATATAATTCTAGGTCACATTAAATGTGATTAAAAATGAATGTAAAAAAATGAATTTTAGAAAACGAGGCCAAACAGGGACTAAATATAATTTATCGATTTTTTTTCTTGAAAACTTTTAATTTAAACTAATTAAAATCAAGTGGTCATGAATGAATCACAACACTCGTGAGAAAAGAGGAAAATAATTGTTTGACCTAGAAGATTCATTTTCTTGAATTAATGTTATTTCCTTATAATTTCCAAGAAATTTCATTTGTAATTGTTGATATATATGCTTGACCATTAATTTATTTTTCATGGATAGAGCCCACAAAGGAGACTGTATTTAGACAAGAAGAAGACGTGGACGGCGTTCATTTGAACTTCCCTTTTTCTGTGATGGAAAATTAACTAATTGTTCAGTTGATTGCTCAGTCAAATCACACAGCTAGCAAAAAATGGAAAAAATGAAAATAAACTGGAGAAAAATCTAATTCAGTCTTTGTTGCCGACGTGATTTTCGCTTCTCTTCACCAACCCACTAATTATTTTTTATTTTTATAAATTTATTTTGGTAGAATTATGGGATTTTTTTTCTCTCCTCAGTTTGCATTTTTTTTGTGTTCCTATTAATTTTTGCTATCATATTGTTGAGTTTAATGTTCATTAATAGCCCACGTGAAAAATTTACTCCATAAACGTCATGTAGGGGTAAAAATCAATGTTTTAAAAAGCATAAAGTGGTATTAGACATGAATTACAAGTTTTAAGTTTTACGAATCTAGATGAATTTAGGTGAGGTCTAGGCATTGAAAAGTGTTTTCTTAATTTTAATATTATTTTAAATTTTTATTTATTTTAAAAGTCATTTAATAAATTAAAATAATATATATATACCAAATATCTAAAATTATAAAAATACTATATTTACTTGATAATTCTTACAATTAGTCAAAATTTAGAATATTTTTTATAGTTTTAACTAGGAAAGCCTTACTTGAATTTTTCTAACTTGTTTTCATTTTTTAC